TCCCATCCAGGTACTGACCAGGCTCACACCTGCTGAGCTTCAGTGGGCTGCCAGTTGTGAGTTGCAGGGCGATATGGCTGCTGGCTACAGACTACAGATTTACTATGGAAATGTATTGTCCAGAAAGCTAAAGGTTGATTTTTTTTTTTACATATTTCAGAACTTAGGAACAATTAAGATGCATATTACTTGATCCTGATAAAATAACTCAAGGGTAAAATGAACAACCCTTTTAGTGAACATATATTTCATTCTTTTGCACTTTAGGTAATCTTGATTCCTGGCCGCATTGTGCATAGTGCCTGCATACTGCCGGAGCCTACATGCTTTACTAAAATATGGAGGAAAAAAATGACGATAAATAATTTGAACAAAACTTCAGCAACAACGGTCTTCCTTGTGGTCAATCCCAGAAAATCAGTACAGCCGCCGCTTAAATTGTACCAGAGGAGGAAAGGGCTTTCTGGCCCGGGATCAAATGAAATCCCCGAGTCAGCACCTTTCCTTAATAAAAGAAGTCGCTTTAACAATCCTCGACCAATATGACCGTACGGCCACCAGACAAGGACCTTAAAGTCGAGCGGTGTTTGCTTAGCATAAGTTTTATTTGGCTAAGCAGGCGCGGTGCGGCACGGAACTGTAAAATGGGACCGCCGTCTAAACGACTTTCCCACCCGCTGCCGTCACTACCGTCCACTGAAAACGACCCCCCATCTCATTAAAACAGGGCTGCAAACAGGGCTGACAGTTTCGAATTAAACTATACATTGTCAACACTCTCAGCCGAGGTCTTTATCAACAGGAGAGGCAGCAGCTCTCCGCCATGTTGTTGTCGGGCCTAAGGAGAAGAATCATCATGCAGGTGGACAGCATCAGTGAAAACCCCCTCTTACCCTCTTTTCACGCCGATATCCCGAACCGGCAAAAATAAACCCCCGTCCCCGAAAACCCCCGTTGTCGCCCGCCTTCTACGGCGAGATAAGTAAGCTCTCGTCTGGGAATGAGCACCGCCCTGATAAAAGTTACCCTACTTACTCTGAAAACCCCACGCTTTTTTATTTTGGTTCACCCCCCCTTAAAACTAACCGTTTCCAAACAGGCCTTCGCGCAATGCTATTCCAGTGGGGGGGGGGCCGTGCTCTGTCGCAGTCCCTCCCCACCTGCAAACAGACCCAAGCTAACTGCTGCCGTCTCATCCGGCCATCTCCGGCCTACCGCTTTCCCCGCATCCCCGGCCTTTCCTGCAGCCGGCTCGCCTCGAAACACCTCACCTGGATGACCTCGTTGACCTCCCTAATGCACTCCACCATGTGCTGGAGGATCTGCTCGGCGGTCAGCACCTCGAAGCGGTAGTCCTCCTCGTCTTGGCCCGGCCCCAGGCCGCTGCCCCCGGTCTCCCCGCACACGTCCCGCTCGCCGCCGGCCTCCGCGGGATCGACCAGCTCCACCTCCCCGAGCTCCAGGGTGTCGTCTTCGGGCTCCTCTTCGGCGCTGTCTTCGCTGCATTCCTCCTCCTCGTCGTCGTACTCATAATTGTAACCCTCGTCCGAGTCCATTACTATGTTCACGCCGGGTTGAGACAAGCGAAAGGTCCAAAGGGGGCTCGACAGAGATATTATTTACAACGTGAGACACAACGGCACCAGGAAAAAATTCATACAGACTTAAAAAATTTCAGCCGCAGAGAAAATAACAACACAAGCGCCGCCACTGCTGAGCCAACAAAGGGACGCGGCGTCACGAACTGACGTCGACAGCGCGTCACAGAGCGGCCGAGAGGACCTGCCTGCTTTTTTTGTTGAGTGTAAATAAAGTCAGTTGAAAGAATAAAAAAAATATATATATACATATAGAAAAGTGTATGTTGGTCAGGGATAACCGCCATGTTGGAGATTTCGAAATGCAATCCTAGCCATATTGAGTGTGGCAAAAGACGGGAAGGCTGTGAAAAGGTGGAAAAGCACATTGACGAAGGACTTTCATTGGACGGATTAATCACAAATTCATTTAGTATTTTTGTTCGTCTAGATTCACACTTTTTTTTTTTATCAGATCTCCCATTTCTCCCAAGAGTGCACTGGCGCTTGCTCCCCATTTTACGGGCTCATGTGTTTTCCTCGATGTTTTTGAAGAATTAAGAACCCGGGTGGCATCTATAAAGATGTAAAAGACCAGGAAGAAATCTGCTATGCGTGGAGACGCATATAAAAGTAGACCAGAGGAGTTGTAAATAATGTGCATAGTGTCTTAAAACTCTTAAAACAAAACGCAAACAGGGAGAAAAATCCATTCTATAGCTCAAACATTAATAGAATAATTTTCTTTAGTTGCTACACAATCAGTTTAAATTAGATTAAATTTTAACAAGATTTCTTAAGGATGTCCTTAGTCACCTGGGTAACAATATTCTTGCAAACATAAATAGCTCACTGGAACAGTTGTAGCCTCCTTTATATTCGCCCTGGTAAAACGCCTTCTTGAAGATCCCAGTTGAGATTGTTTTTAAAGTAATTTTAGATTTCTTACAACGCATTACAAATCTTTCTTTTCTAGCTGTAGGTGATTGAAATGGCAAGGTTTAAAGCGAAAAGAATTCCCGAGTATATAAGAATAATTTTGAAAAGTTTCAGTCTGGGATTCACGCCAGGGACCCTTGACACTGCCCTAGTAAGAGTAACAAATGATTTATTGTCGAGTGCAGATTTCGCTGTTATTTCTATTCTGGTTCGTTTAGGACTGCTTTTGGGTCATTCCATAGGTGTCTCTGATGAGTGATTAAACTGGCTTAGACCTTTTTAACATTCTGTTTTTGTAGGGATTTCAGTCAGGTGTGGTAAATTTTAAACTGCGGTGCTCCTCCGAGTTCTGTTATTTCTTTATACATTACCTTAGGTGATATTTTTGGCTCTTTCATTTGAAATCACGTAAAAAATCTGATAAACATCTGTTTGATCATTTACGAAATACTGCCAGAATGACATATTTTCTCTCTTAATTCAAGATGGATAAAGTCATTTGTGTATTGATTTCGATACTTTATACTGGGCTTGCAAGTCAAGCCTCGTTCTATGTCTACAAGGCACGTTACACCATTGGGGTGGTTTAAAGAGCAAAGAAAGAACACACAGCCTAGGAATCTTTTATTTCAATACACAAGTTACGTAGTTGAGATCAAATTGTCATTTAGTTTGGCGACCTGGCCAAGAGACAGACAGACATTGTTTCACAAGGCCTGTGCTGGCATTTCCTCTATTGGCGTTCAGAGGGATATGCCATTGTTTTTAAAAACGCACTGTTTATTCATGTTCATTGGGGATGGTGGATACCGGCCTTTTTTTGTATTCCAACACGAATGCTCAGACGTAAACCAAAAATTTATACTTTTATGCAGTAAACAGTTGTATTGAATCATCCATTTTCTAACTGCTTGATCCATTACAGGGTCACGGTGGAGCCAGAGCCTATCCTGGCAAGCAACAGGAACAAGAAGGGATTAGCTCTGGATGGGACAACAGTTCATCGCATCAGGAAATGCACAGACATACACTCACACTGCGGCCCATTTTTCCCACACACTAATTAACTACAAGTATGTTTTTGCACGGTGGGAGGAAAGCAGAGCACCCAGAGGAAACCGACAAACACAGGAAGAACATAGAAACCCCGGGCAGATAGCACCCCAAGTCTGGGATGAAACCCAGGGCCCCAACACTGCGCCCCGGTGTCGTCCTCTCTAATATTATATTTGACATGTAATACAATGATTCAGTTCCACACTCTAAAGCTAAAATAGAAAATACATATTTTTACACTAGCAAGAAAATAACTTTGATGGTAAAGTGTCAAACAGTATTAGACATACTTTAATGAATCAGAACACGCTGCCTACTCGCACTCATCAAGTCAGTTACTAACGAGATATATTTCCTCTGTGTTACAGGAAATATCATTTCACGATGTAATTTTAGTTTGCATTAACAAATATGCATGTTGTATGATTGCATAATCATTGTTCTCTATTATGACTTTCATCTTTTATTATGTATGAAACTTTATTACAAACATAAATCTGCAGAATAGCTAGTTATTTTTATGGCATATCTTTTGTGGAGAGAGAAACATTGGAGACCTATAACAGCCCATTATCTTTCAGTTCAGTTCTGCTTACATTTCCCAGGGGGAATAGTAAATGACTTGTAAAGTCCTATATTAGCCTTGACAGTAACCTTATGGTTAATGATGAAACATTGATATGCAGTGCAGCAGTAAGCCACATTTACACCAGAGGAACTTCATATGAGGGGATCATTTATCCAGCATAATAGGACTTATGGATAAGGAGTCCAAGCTCTGCAGAAGAGAAAGCCTACACTAAACTGTCAAATAGAAATATATATTTTTCTCTCATTAAGTTTTGTTTGTAAACCATCATTTCCTTTGTCCAGCACTTTCCTTATTTAATGCAGACACCACCACCCTATGGCCAGAATCTTGTCATTGTCTCATAAAAAGAACACGCTGCCTTAGCTGTTTGTGTTCAGGATTACTGAAAAATATAAAAATAAAGTACATCAACAAGCACCCAGTAGGAGCCGACTCCCTGACAATATTCAACGGGGCTTCACCCTGGTTTGGCTTAAACTCTGGATGAATTTATTTCAAAGCATGATTTTGATGCGAGTTTTGACGTAAACACCTTATATTGTGTAACAAAGGTGAGCTATGTGTAAGAGGTTCTCATTGCTCTATAACCCAGTGTCAAATGGCCCAGGATGAAGCAAACCCTGTCCCACGCTGCCCGCTTGGGATCCGAGAGGGATTTTGTTTGACATGAAGAATCAATAGGAAGTATAGGATACGAGTATAATAGGAAACGAGTACACCCTTCACAGCCCTTTCCTCAGGATTACTATATGTAAATGCGAACAAGGCTGTTGATCATCTGTAACTTGGCTTGCAGTTCAATTAATTTTCCGATTTTTCTAACAGCCCCTTGTGCCCCCTAATTTCTCCTTCATCAGAATCATCCACATTACCGTTTCACCTTACCTTCTCAAACCTCTTTTCAGATATTTCTTTCTCCTCCAAAAAACTTGTTTGGCACTGCACTTGGAATGCCGCAGGACGTAGCTCAGCTTGGGCCGTCTCTTCCTGTTGTTGACACATTTCTAGTCTCATAAATTTCACCTCGATGGAGAGACCCCCCTCTGCTGACTCCTCTCCCACCCCCTCTTCCACCACGCATGGCCAAAGCTTTTCCTCCTGGTGTCACTGATCATGACAGCCACTGGCCATCTCGCCACGGGGAGAACTCTCAAACCAGCAATATCCCCGAAACAACACGCAGTGGGTGCCTCACAGTGTGTTGTGTGCAGAGATACAATGGGGGGCAGGTGACATCATTTGCTGTTCCCAGCTAATTCATTTCCATTCCACACCCATTGTGTTTTCTTTGCGTCTTGCTTATTGCCGAGCTGTCCCGGATTGTTGTTGGCTATTATGACAGTAGTAACAGCTTCCGAAAAAGAAACTTGATGCTGCTAAAGGAAATCAGCCTCTCAAAGTAATCTGGGGAATCTCTTAAAAAACCAGAACTACAGTCTCAGATCTTCTCTCTAAAGTGATACCCTTGGGATGGCTTACGTATGTTAAGTGATTTATTCTCATATGCTTTGTGATTTGAGCACTCTTCAGGAAGGTACACACAGGATGTAGGAATGATCATATTTGCATTTCCTAAGAGTTTTGACTCTGCTGTGTGGGTGGCAGGAGCTACAGTAACCAGGAGTAGTTTCACCAGAAACCATGACTTCTAGAAAGGCCAGCTGGAAAGTTTGCCTTTTTTAAAAAGATTTAGTAACAAAGAAAGAAAAATTAATCCAAGTATCCAAAGTAGATGTAAAATATACACAACAAACTGTATTTTTTGACTCGTAATGGTTGGATATAAAATGTATTGGAGCACCAATACAAAATAAGAACATGGAAGTTTTTTTTTTGCTTTTTCCCGTTTTGTTTTTTAAAAAAGCCACAGATTATTCTACAGAAAGCAAAGGTCTTTGTACAGAAAGAAGCAACAGTAGGGTTCTTCTCATCTCCTACATCTTAATAAAACTTGCAGCTCCAATTCATTTCAGAGGCAAAAATAAAAAAAAATAACAGCTGCCAACTGCTAACCTATGACACTACAGGTACACAAAACATAGCTTTATATTTAAAACACAGGATATGTAAGAAAATGTTTTTTGAAAATTGTGAAAAAAGTGCAATACAGGTTTGACTGTCTACAACTTAATAGTTCAATTCCCCGACGGGTCCTTTTCTTTTTTTTTTTTGCTCAGCTTTGAACAACATTTCTAACATTTTGTATCCATAAGTAAATTTTCTTACAGTTATATTAACATTCATGAGGATGTACATTATGAGAAACATGATATTCACAAAAGTAGACTAGTATTATGATTTCAATGACATTCTTTGGGTAGAAGGGTGGAGGAAAACAAGTTTAAAACATGAACACGAATTATTTTACATTTCAGTTGTTTACAGAACTAATTGTGTTTCTTCATATAAAAAGCAAATGAAGCCGAAAAACCATTGTCTGGAAGTCCCATTCAAAAGGCAACACCCTTTGCATTTTTTTATTAAAAAATAGCAGTTCCAAATTTGTAAATTACTGCCTTCCCCATAAATGTTAGAAATTATTGAAAAGGTTTGTGTCCTGAGTTCTTCCAGTTTTGGAATGGGTCACAGGTATCTGAAAACAAAAGAAAGTGTGTTCTATAACTGATGTTATCTAGGACACTTTCCAGCTAGTGCTGACTCAGGAAAGATCTCTCCTGCTTTAGTGGAACACACGCTTTGTTCCTCCTGAAGGAAAGCTGACTCTCCGGGTCTGTGATTTTTCAAGTCAATTCTCTCCTTGGCCTCACAATCAACACCTACTGTCATCTACATTACACAGCTCTTCTCCAGACCAGTTCCACAAATCTTCCTCTTCCCAAATTAGAAGCATTCGAATGTCAGTCAACACTCTCCTCCAGTAAGCAGTCTGGCCCTTATGAGCACTTGCTGACCCTTTGGAAGATCTGCTGACCCAGGATGCCTTGAAATTGGGGTACCCCACCCATAGATTTTAGGGACCAGTGCTTTTTTTTTTTAAAATGAGGAAAGGTTGATATGAACAAAAGAAGAGGGAGACCCCAGGCAAAACTAGAGGCTAATACTGCCCTAGGGTATAACAGCATCCATAATTAACTGAAATGATCAATTTCACCTTCAGAACAAAAGTTAGCTTTAGAAATGAATTAAATGGAATCGCAGTTCTTGAAATTACTGTACAAAGCTACTGAAGGCTGTTGCTCTTCATGAAATAATAAGAATGACAAGTCAGGACCATGGAGATAAGTCTTTGAATGGGGACTCCCATACAAAACAGATCTAATTTACAATGGGGGGAGGGAAATAGTTTCTTGACATAACAATGCAAATAAAATAGAATAAAATTAAAAATACACAACATTCCCCCACTGGACAGAAGCTTCATGAGCTATGAGATATCTTAGTGTTTCACGCTCACATCCAGGAACACGTCAACGATGGAGAGAGAATGAGGCAGTTTATATATATAAACTATATATATATAAAAAATAAAAAGAAACAATAATAGAAAATAATAGTAATGTGGCACAATATATAACACAGAACAGGGAAACGGGCACATCATTCGCTCTGAACGCTGGATACAAAATGGAAATAAAGAGCGAGGGATGTCCCGTGTCCACCTCATATGAAAAGGGTGATTCATGAAAACGCACAATGACACACTAACGCAATGTCCAAACACTGTAGACCTGTGCCCAAGAGCACCAAGACAAAAACCGGCATACTTCTTTATTTTTTCCTTTTTCTTAGAGTTACAAAATGGTGCCTGTCCGAATAACGGTCTCCATGGTAACCGAAGGAAAAAAAAAGCCCGTTTCCGCTGATAAAAATGAAACTTCCATCAGCTAATTGCTGTTTGTACTGAAAATCTTTGTTCTTCTTAAAAACGTGAGCTGTCTCTTTTAAAACGGCCATCTCCTTCCTGAGAGTAAGTGAGGTGAGCCAAGAGTTTCAGTTTTTTTTATTTTTTGAAGTTTTGCAAATCCTTTTTTTCTGCTCCATTCAGGGAATATTGAGACATTCCATTTCGCTCAGGCTGTGGTGATGGCATTGAGGTCCTTCATCAAACCCTCTAGGTGGGCCATTTCCTCGGACAGTTCATCCGCCTCGTAGTTCTAAAGGAAAGGAACAGGGTTACTGCCGGGGATGGGGGTGGAGTTGGTCAATGGGACTGCAGCGCAAGGCCAATACAGAATTTAAAAAAGGCGGGAACATTAACACAGCCAGAGGCGACCATTGCCACAGCATCAGGAAGCGTGATGTTACAAAGATGCGCAGAAAGCAAAACAACAAAACACAAGTCAAACGAGGTATTAAAAAAAGGGAAACGGAGACCGACAAGAAGGCAGCCGATGGTGATTGAAGAAATGAGCAGAGAAAAAACAAGAGGGGAGGAACAAAAACAGACAGAGAAGAAGAGAAGGGAGATAAAAATAAAAAAAAATAATTAGAACCAAAACTGAGTCTTGACTTCTTTGGTGGAAAAAAGTCTAACAGCCATTTCCAAAAATAAAACTTACACCTACAAAGCAAAACAAAATTACATTTACTGGTAAGGAACAAACTGCAACTAAGCCTAAATCATATGCCTGATAGTAGAGATGCAGTAGACTGTAAGAAACTGTTTAAAAATACAACACTACCCTGCAACCTTTCCAAAACTAAAAGAATTTAAAATAATTCAGAATGTGGCACATGGACAGCGTGTTTGTTGACAAGCTTTAGCTAGCTGCAGGTTTAAGACTGAAATAACCTGCTCAACTCAGTTTAACTCATGGGTCTCAAACTCGGTTCATGGAAGGCTTAGTGTCTTCTGCGTTTTGCTCCAACTCTTTAGTCAATTAAGCAATTACCTAATTATTTTCTTAGCTAGGCAAGTAAAATATTTTGTTTTGAGCTCCTGTGCACTCTAAACATTTACTTCATTAAAAGGTACCTTTAAAATTATGATGTGAATTAAACATTTTGATCAACCAGGTAACAGAGCTCAGGTGGAACAAAAACCACAAGACACTGGGACCTGCAGGAAATGAGTTTCACACCTCTGGATTAATCCGTTTGTTCCCATAGCAACATCTGCAAATTATAATCTAAAAATAACTGACAAACAGAGATTGATATAAAGAGGAGAGTAGAACAAGTGACGGTGCTGAAATGGGGAAATTTGGAGGTGGTCTTTATTGACTAACTAGTAATTGGTTGATCGGTAAGTACTGGGACAAAATGCAGAAACACTCTGCCAGAACAAATAACCAGATTCATTAAAATGCAGGAGTAAGGACCAAATTATTTTAAAATAAAAATATTTGGCTAAACTGCCATGTTTGTATTGTTTAATACATAATCAACTAACCAAATCAACTTGCTAGAGAGTGCATAAATCCTGATTGCTGCTAGCTCTGCACTTGCACAGTACTTACCTACAGTCCAGTTCCAGGCTGTGCCCCTCTCCAGGCAGTGCATCCGAATGTATATAACAAAAAGAAATCATATTTACGGACTGTACTCACGCTCTCAACATCCTCCAGCATTTTGCTGGTCTCTGGCACGTCAGGGGCACTGGGCACTATGACAGGCATTGGTGAGCGCGTCCTGCCCAGTGTGCCAATGGAGGCTGTCTTCACTGAGTGCACCTGGGAAGCTGGCCCTAGAACAGGAGGAGAAACTGAGCAGCTGGAGTGGCACAATGACAGACTTGTGGTCGGAATAGGACAGTGCAAATGTGGCATAGGATTCCGATCCCAGTTTTTTAGAAAGGGCTGGAGGAGGTTGGAATCAATTAACAGGTCAAAACAGGTCCGACAGGTGCTCTCGTTTGTAACCTTTCTTGTGTTCAAAGGCTGACTGCATGCCCACACACATGCCCAGCTACCAACTTTGGCCTTCATTTTCTATATAATATCGTTAAAGCAAGTCAAATGTCTGAAGTGTAGCAAGTGACAATGGCTCAGTTTAGACAAGTGGAATTAGAAATACTGTCTCTGAAATTCAAGGACAGGGAGAAAGATAGGTACAGCAGGAGCAGAACCAGTTCTTAAACCCAAACCGTTCCCTCACGCGCCCTGACCCGCTGCGTGATACCCCCCAGTCTGAGAGGCGTGATGTCCCGGGGCCCCCACCTGTCTGGGTGAGCAGTGGGGTGCTGGGTAGGGCGGGGGACTCGAAGGAGGTGCCCGGGGTGGGCACAGCGGGCACGGCGAAGCTCTTCAGGGGGTGGGTGGGCCGCACGTGCGCGGTGGGCGGGTTGTAGCTCTCCTCCTCGGGGGCGGAGCTCAGGAAGCTGGCGCCGCTGTCCGGCTCGGGGTGGTCCACGGCGCAAGCCGGCTGCACTGGGACGGGCAAGGGGTCAGCGCTGGGCGTGTTCCTCACCGATTCTGCAAACACAGGCACGCAGCCATCACGCCCCCCGCCGCCGGTCACCGCTCGTTCGGGCTCTGTCGTACATGACTGCCAGTCGTCATCGGAAGAACTTGGAGAAATCCACTCTACTAAGGCACATCTCCCTCCTGCCTTCAGCAACTGCTTAAAGACCTACAGTATTTGATCAGTTTAGGTGATTCTGCCCCCCTCTTGTTTGGAAAATGTCTCATTTTAATATACCAATGCATAAAAAAGTCAATGATTAATAATGGTTTCTATTCTGAATTTCATTAATCAAAAACAACTCGCTTGTCATCAAGTATTACTTTGCAGACAACTTCGATAATGTGAGGACCTTAATTTTTTTTTACTGTTTTAAGCCATGGCATTTTCTGTTACAATGGGGCAATTACAGTCTTCATCATTGACTCAGTCCAAGTTCTACAATTCTTTGGCTTTGCTGATGGTCTCGCCTGACTTATCCCATTGAGTGCCTGGTGATTTATTTAGATCGGGGGACTGAGATGGGCATCGAATCATCTAATATATTCAATTGTGTTAAAGTAATACTTTAATATGCCTGAAGATAAAATGTCAATATTAAAAAATATCTGTAATATGTGGTATCTATAATATATGATAATCAGCGGACTTGGAATGTACACTTTTACTTCCACTTCACATAACTAGCCATGCTAGTTGTGCTTTTTTTATTTACCTTCTCAACTGAATAAATTTGACCTATTATGTTAAAAAAATGCCAATTTATGCTTATTGAGAGAGTCCTGAAAGTGCTTCTGTGATTTTTCAAACAGCAGAAAGTAGGACTCTGCACACCAGACTCGGCAAACAGCTCAGTTAGGCATTTTTCTCATGCTTTTTTCCCCTGATGTTTCAGTTTTTACAGCAAACAGAAAAATGTTTTCAATTTTTTTTTCTCCATTACAGCCATTCATTCCATTTAACACAAATAAGAAACAACATTCCCATTCGACCCAAATCATCTCCATTACTGTAACAAAGTCAGCTGTGATTCAACGAGAGCTGTCTCACCATTAGTTATTTGTAGTGGAAATGAAAAACAAACGGCCAACCCATTTAACTGCACTTTAGAAGGTGCGTGAGGCAATATCGCCTGTCAAGCTAACACATCTTTCATGGCAGAGGATGAGAAATGGGAAACTCGTCTCTGTCAGGGTTGACTGGCCATGTGGAAAGAAAAGTGTTTGTTTCCAAATACAAGCAGAGTATCGCAGAGCCAATGGAGGAAAAACAAAAACTGAAAGCCTGTTAAAACAGGGAACCTGGCAACCAACTTGAACAGATAACAAGCATGCTTGTTTCAGCAAAATTAAAGAATTAATGTACAGCTGACTGCAGTGCTTTTCAATCTACATTGATTTCCTCTAGCAGCTCCTCTTGCGATCATGTTTAAATGCACAGTGGTCTAAGTTAGACAAGTTCTTACTGAAAAGATTTCAGAAGAAATGTTTTTTTGCACAAATCTTTTAATTAAACTGAAAGCTATATATCCGTTTAGAAATATATAGAACGTCTCCTACTCCATGCTCACTGTGCCGGCCTCATTAGAACATGTTTCATAAGCTACACACATGCATATATTTATTTAGTTTGATCTATTTTAATGTTTTTTATTTATATGGACAATGTCCTGAAGTAAACAATGATTACAGAAACCTATTTCAATGAAAGCCTTAACCACAACATTTTAAAATATTCACATTGCATTACTCTAAAAATATAATACTATAATAAATAATTAGATACCATCATTTAACAAAGAAGGCAAATGAAACATTTTTATAGGAATCGTCAGTTCTTATCAAATGCTCCTGAAATTCAGTAGTGCATCAACTAACATATGATATAGGGGGAAAAAAAACGAATGTATTTAAAAACATAATGAACAGGACTGACCATTCACGGTGGAAACAAACAGAACTGAGCAGCGTTGCTAAAAGCCCCACTGAGGCACGAAGATGAGAGCTGAGCAGTCAAGGAGCGGCAGAGGGACTAAATCTCTCAAAGGGCATTTCCACAATCAGCCTAAGATACCTGACGATTAACCAGATACTCACGGATGTCCATATTGTATGGTGATTTGGAACAAAGATTTTTTTTATTCGGTGCAAAATATTGTGCGTGGACTCCCATGGTATTGTTTTTATTTTGGGATCTGGTGTGAGACTACCCATACACTTCAATAAGAGGCTCAATATTGTTCTGCAATTTCTTTTTTTTTTTTAATACAGAACAAGATGGTTCATGCTGCCTGGGCAGCCTGATTGGGACTTCCTATACGGTGGCTGCCACAGTAGCTGGTATTCACAGGTGCTCAGACTCTCTCCCAGAATCCCCCGCGCAGACTGGCAGCCTCACCTGCGGAGTGGGCCCTGTCTACGTGGGAGATGGGAGTGGCGAGAGGCCGCGGGTTGATCTGATGGTGAAGATGGCTGCGAGTCGGGGAGGCCAGGCTGCCGGAGTGATAATGATGGTGATGGTTATCGAGGGAATGGATGGGGTGAGCACTAATCACAGCTGTGAATGAACACAACAGAGAGAGACGCCATTTACAGAAGGAACACACACACTTGGGAGCGAGACAGGACAGGGTCAGTAAAGCCGGACGCTGGGTACAGCAGAAAGCATCAGAACTATATCAGGGTATGATCAAAGAAGGCCACCACACAGTTCTCGTCTTTTCTCAGTTCTACAAACTTGACTACCATGCAGTACTGCCGCCATGTTTTTCCTCTGGGGCAGGTTTTTGAAATTCTAGGTGGAAATGAGCCATTTTTTCCCCTCATAAGGCAGCCCCTGAAAAGGATTCAAAAGTCATGGGCGCAGAGGTTTGTTCAGCAGCTGGATCAAAATGGAACTACAAGTTTCGAAGTTATGATAAGTAAAACACCGCAGTGCTGTAATCGGGGCCGATTGGCCTCGTGATGCATTGACCAATTTTCAGTGAAGAGGCTTTCAGTTAAATCCAAATTGCACTCTAAATTGTTCCACTGCCAATGGAAATGTGCAGGTGGGTAGAAAATCAATACTAGGCAATTCCAAGGCAATGAAAAATGTGTAGATTATAGTGCAGTGAAATAATATGTGTCCTAGGAGAGCAGCCTTCTCTTATTTGCTCTGCTGTTTTTAAATTACAAAAATGAGAAAGAAAAGCACAGACAAACGATGACCCTTGAAGGTGTTAAAATTGTGCCAAATTCTCCTGAGTTTTGGTTTGCGGTGCGGGGACATACTTTACAACCACCGACTCGCCTCACATTCACAGCACATAGAGCACAGGAAGGTTAAACACTCCCTGAATGCAGTGTGGGACCAGCAGCTCAATGAGACCCCAGGGTGGGCAGCTGGACTTACGCTGTGGAGGCTGGGCGTCAAAGGGCATCATCATTTTGGGTCTCATCCCCCGTCTCCCTGCCAGTGTTGACATGCTGTCTTCTGACTCGTGCCCTGCAAGGCATACAAAACAGCGACCACCCTGTCAGCCGGATGTCAGACGGGGGCCCCTACAGCTTAAAATTCACCCCTGTGCTTAAACCACCACTGTTTGTAGAGGACGAGATGTGCTTTCTGTTTCGTAATCCTGTTACATGGCTTTGCCAGCCAAGTAGATCTCTGAACCCAAAATAACTTCCTTTGTGATATTGTGGGTCCCTTACAAAGCTGCTCAGATTCTCTAAATTAGATGAATCAGGACAGATCTTACCTTCATCAGACAGGACAGGGAATGCCTGGTCTAAAAACATTACCACATGCTGTATTATATATCGTAGGTTTTAACAGACACTACAGTCTTCCCATCATAACCTTGTGTTTTCTTATGTATTTCCTATTGAAAATGCTGACGATACCTCAGATACAACTAGCTCGCTACAGTGTAAATAAGGGACTACAGACTTTTCTTCTCAGTGTTCTTTGCTCAATTAACCTCACTGTCACTACCAATACAGCAACCCTCATCCACACTGGTAGCTGTTGACCCCTATGTCAAGTGTGTTAAACATGTTATGAAGATTGTAACGAGTTTAATGTATAACATAATGTATAATGTATAACATTATAATGTATAACCTGGGGTACTGTCTATATCTGTTTATATTTAATTTGCTACACATCTAAGGCAATCACTTAACATACATTGGTTTTACAAGACTTCCTTTCCTCCACTGGCTGAAATTAAGTTTACAGATTTCCTATTGTCCAAGGCATTCATGTTTGATTTTTTTTCTTGTTTTAATGATTTTTTTTTTACATTTGCAAAGCTCGACTTTGTAAAAAACTAATTTTCAATAAGTGCTTCTGTTTCACTCATCTTGCCAAAATCCCCATTCTCAGTTAATTTCAAAATGGGTTGATTGGTCTGCTCTGGAGGCAGAGCTCCACGTACAGTACATCTTTACAGTGTTCTTCCTCACTCTAGAGGGCGGTAAAGAACTACGTCTTTGACAAAGCAATGAGGAATCATAAATTGGCCTGCACATTGTTACTGAAGGAATACTCAAGATCAGAATTTATGTGAAGAATGTACAATACTGCGTATCTCAATGCCAAACCTCAGTTAATATGGTTACACTGTATATACTTCAAAACCCATTACCAATGGAATTCTGACATAAGCATTACCAAATCTATTTCTCCTAACATGATCTTCCAAGCAGACTCAAATATCTAATATATTTCAAATATTTTTCCAATCACCAGTGCCTTTCCTAGCTGTCAATCAGGTACAACACTTCATTGCGTTACCAATACCAAATACCAAATATTTAATTTTATAAATGTTATTTTTTGGCGAGGATTGTCAAAAACACAAATTATGGGATTTGGGCACAGTATAATGTGAACGAACTGGAATTAAAATACAATGACTACAGAACATGCAAAACTGCTTGAAGCAGGTATACTGTCAATATACCTTCAATACTGTAAAATATTCTATCATTGTTCTGAAAATGATACCAGAAATCTTGTATTTATGAATGCAAAGTATAAAGAAATGGAGTAGAAGTTATTAATATTACTGCTTTAAGATTTTAAATAGATCGCAGGGCTTAGGGGTGTTATGATGGCTAAACGCAGAGTTTATGTCAAAATTGAACAGAATTCATTTTTCAGGCTGCTTTGCATCAGCTGCTTCAGTTAGTAAATAAGTCATCCATCCATCTTCTAAACACTTGATCTAATGCAGGGCCACAGGGGAGCCCAAGCTCATCTTGACAGGATATACCCTGGGCAGGACTCCAGTCTCTCACAGGGCACACACTGACACACACAGCAGGACTAATTGTACCAGACGCCAATTAATCTATCAGTATGTCTTGGGAGTCTGGGAGGAAACCGGAGCACCCGGAGCAAAGCCATGTGTACACGGGGAGAACATGCAAACTCCACACAGACAGCGACCCGGGAATCGAACCCTGGGCCCCAGCGCTGCAAACGGCAATCCTTACAAAACAGTGCTAAAACATTCTAAACCAAGGGTCTTCGAAGCCAAAGACCCCCGACCAATAACACCGTAGGGTTTCCTAGGATCTGTCCTAAGCCGGAGTCACAATCATACTCGTTTACACAGGAAAGAAACAGAAACTGCAAAGGTTTTCCTATCTTACGCCCACACAGTCTGTGCAAATGTCTGCTGTTGATTAACTTGGGCTATGGCTGCAGAGCCGGACTTTGGTGTTCGTTGGCCCCAGGCACTTTCACTCCGACATGCGCAAAAAGAGGCGTAAACGCCAATTGAATGACGTCGATTGACGTGACGCACTTTAAACTATCCCAATGCTAAACCACCTGATTGACGGAGCGAGTCGAGTGACCATCACTTCCACACTTCTAGTGTCTAGAACAGCCGCTAGAGAGCGTACGGCTATTGATTTGGAGCACCTATCGTACTGTTTTGATTCAACTCGTTTTCTGTTAGTCACTAGTGTTTCCCTAAACATTTCGCAGGCCCTGGGCACTGTGCCCACAGTGCCAAATGGGAAATCTGGCACTGTATGGCCACAACCCCTGGATGGCTGGTTAAGCCACGAGAGAACCCCTCCTGACCAACACTTCCCCCTGGCAGAGGTCAAAGAAAACAAGGCAGTGTCTTGACTTGTCCCCCTGAGAAACAGAAAGAGCAGTGTGACGCAGGGGCGCGCCGCTGTGGGAGCGATGTCGGCAGGGCCGGCGGGCGGCTGGGAGACCTCACCGCGGCAGGAGCTGCGGCGCTGGTGGATGGTGTTGTCCGCGGCGCTGTCGACGGGGGTGATGTCCTGAGAGGTGCGGGGGATGGGCGTGTCGGTCATGACCGGGTTGGGCTCGGGCGACTTGTCGATGGGCTTCAGCTCCAGCCGCTCGTGGTGGATCCACAGGTCCGGGGGCTTCAGGTCCTTGGAATTGCCCTTGTACTTGTGGGAGCCATTGGCCGACTTGCAGGCCGCCCGCTTCCTGCCGAGCGTAGAGAAAGCCACCGGGTTCAGGAGGAGGCAAACCGAGCTGCACTCCACACCCCGAGGCTGAGCAAGGACCAAACATCTCCAAAATCAGGGTACCACAAAATCACACCAGGTGTCCGTCATGATAGCCTTCTGAAGGGGGAGCAGCAACCCCATTTTCCTATTTCGGGGTTCGAAAGAATCGTCATTGATGAGTGCATTTCAAACCAAAACAAAAGTAAGACGTACCCAGCAACTTGTAAAAACCACACAAAATAAATGAAATTTCCAGGTATGTACAGCACCATACTGCTGTCATTGGCCGCGATTCAGAACGAGGCAACAAAACCTCCAGTGACGTGTAGCGGCCCTATTACATTGTAAACATGCAGGCTTGTGAATACATCTCTTTTAATCCAATAGATATATCGCTCTCGACCTCTGAGGTGGTTTTCCGACAAATACTACTTACTTATTAACTCTGCATGCAGATCATATTGGAACATTTCTGCCATGAAGCATCTGCTGCACAAGCTGTCTTATTCTCCTTTATAAATCGCATTACATCACAGTGACTAGCGAGCAGGAAGGGCCGCTTCACGTCACAATTTGCACAAACCATGGTGTTTGCAATGCCATCAATTCATTTATTTTGTTACCATGATGTACTGTAGTAACCAGTCTGAGAAACGAGGACTGCAGCTCCCCTTTAATGTCAACCAATACAGAGCACATGAGACACCAGCTCAGTCTCCAGCCCTGTCACATTTTCAGGTGCAGGTTTGGTTGGAGACCTCCAAGAAACCAGCAACAGAGCGGAGAGAGGGGGAGCTCAGATGGGTTTTCGGGGTTGTGTTGGACACCTACTTCTTTTGCTGGGAAGTGGTGCGGCGGGTGCAGATGACGGCCACCACAACCACAATGATGATGGTGAAAGCTCCCACAGAGATGATGATGATCAGCAGGATGCTGCTGTCCAGGGAGGACGTCGGGCTCCCGGAGAAACCCGTCTTTCCTGGAGCACAGGAAGAAAGTGTGGTCACACAACAGCGTGGGGATCCCTTACGGAACTACTCCAACTCATTCACAGATTCAGAAATGGCTTACTGTACTTCTCTTGGCTGTGGAAAGGGAGCTTCTCCCATATTTAAAATGCCAGCATAAAACCAAAAAGGTGAAACTTATCTACAGATTTTATCTTATTTTATCTCATAACACAGAGTATGAAGATGAAGATACGTACTGTAGATGTTATGAAGCCATTATTCATGCTTCCACAGCGACTCAAAGTCAGAGAAGAGACTGACTCCAGCCATGTTAGAATAAAGACTGCCATGTGACTACCATGACCCTAGACACAGGACAGTTTTTGTGCAGATGCGGAGCTTTGCCAAACCTGTTCTAATGTTACAGTGCCACTATTCCAATGTCCTTGCACAGATGTGAACAATTTACCATGACATGCAAAAGCGCTATTAAATACTTGTTATAGAATTAAAGCATGAAGCAGCCACAGTGACAAAGTCTTCGCCTTGCGTCCTGCTATTTCCCTTCTGCTTTTTTCTTTTTCATTTTCTGTCCTTTGGGAAATTAAAGGCATAGCAAGAAAATGAACAAGTAACAACTGGTTTCAGGATTTCGGGATCTTCATTAAGATTTTTAATACTTAGTTCTGTGGTTTCTAAATGGTTTACGGCTTATCCCTGCCCACCAGAAGCAAGTGGAGATTGTAAGAATGACAACACTCAGCCCTTAAAAAGGTAGTGTGAAGAACCCACCAGCAGGCCAGAGACGTGCCTTATTGCTCCTGTGAAGGGAACAGTCTCATTCTCCAAAAGACAGATGTTGTCTTGGTGTAGATGGGTATACATACAGTATATATTTAACCTGATGTCACATGTGCAAACCCAGCCAAGAGAACAGGAACTATTTGAACACAATGAACTACATTACATAACAGAGCAAAGCCTGCAAACACTTCCACCTCTGTACAGGGAAAGCATTTCGGAGAAATAAATCGATCTATAACAAAGCCTAAGAGGTGGGAAAACAAAAACAATCTGCTTATTACAAAAACAGCCAATACATGACTCATTAAAGAGATCGCACTATTGGGAGAACATCCAACAATATAGTCAAGCTGTACAGCAGGTTAAAAAAATCAATTGCAGAGTAAACCCACTTGAGGCTGAATGAGTTCACAATACATAATATTTAAAAATGCTTAAGAAAAACCTTCCAGTTGATGTGAGATGAGCTGCTTTCTGTTGAATATTTTTCAATTGCTGACTCTTTCCACCTCTTAAGTGTGATTTATGGCTGATACCCATCACTAATCCCAGAGTCGAACTCCCTTTTCAGTCCTGCAGCTTCTGAAACAGTACCGTCGTACGTGGTTGTGCATTTTGCCAAATGTTGAAAGAGACGCATCAAGAATATTTTTTTCAAGAGAATGGAGATGTAGTGTAAAACAATCCACAGCTACAATATTTGATTTGCTAAACTGGAACGGAGTGAAGATGCAACAAGTCTGTCGTTTCTGTAAGAACGCTGGCTATGAACTGGTGGATTGAAGAGCTACAGGAATGGCAGAAGTAAAGGAGTACATTACCGTGTGGGGAGCCCACACCATGGTCTGGAGAAGTGGGTCGCCCACCTGGCTTTACTGGGGAACTGGCTGGATACACAAACACAGGAAACACGGTTAAAAAGAGTCCACAAACACAAAAAGGATTCACCTGGAGATAAACAATACATACTGTATGCTGCCCCTCTAAATATGTTTGAAGTGAATTTATTAGATGAGTGACGAGAGAATAGCCCAGTGATAGAAGACAGATGCAGAGCGAGAAGTTACTCTCCTTTCTGGGGAAAAGCTGGCATTTCAGCATCAGAAATGAGAAATTCACATATGTTTTTTTTTTAATCTTCAAATTAACATCCTATAGCCAGAATGTTGGGTACAGATGCACTGGGCTGAAAGTAATCTCACCCTACAGGTGTTTTTTTTCTTCTCCTAAAAATCTTATTCTCATAATGTCATATGATATGAATCATAATTATCATTATGAAGTAGCTAGACGACTTCACCTCCTTCATACATTTTTTTTTTGCCAGTGCAAGGCAGTGCTCTTGTCCAGGTGCTGCACTCTGGCTAAGTGATGCTGAGGAGTGGAAGTCTCCCTGATAAACTAACAAGACGTCTATGCTGTTTTTAGAGCGCTCGTCCAGAAGCACGACATGCTTTGAATCACACATCACAAATGTTAAGAGAGCAAATACTAAAACATGACAAAGACGAGACAATAGAAAAATGGAAGAGAGACACGAAGCAGGGTCTCTGAGGCCCAGAGAGGTGTAAAACCCTAACCTAGTTTTTTTAAATACCCTGACAAGAATGAACTCTGCCATTCTCCAGCCTATACATGTACTGTTATCCTCCATAACACTCATATCTTAAACCTGCATTTTCCATGGCTCAGTTTTGAGTCAATGTGAGAGAATATATATAATATGCAACATTAAACAAAGTTTTCAAGTAAAGCTTTAGCACATAAAATCAGCCAATCAGTAGTAAGAACCTTACAAGTTTTCAAACCGGAGCCTACAATGACTAGCAGCAGTGGTAGTACTATGGCAGAAAGAATAACAAGAACACAATTTTATTTATGAGAGCTTTTCTACAAACTCAAAGTACTAACACCACATCTTGCGGGTCTTGATTTCTCTGCTAGAACAGGGTCAGTGAAACCCAGAAGAGATCAACTGTCTTCTCTGGGTTTTCAGAAGCTGGCTGCTCAACATATTTCACATTCACACCACATGGTAACAGGAGTCTAAGCGCAAACTAACTTCAAAGGACCAGATTTGCCACATTTCCTTATCTCCTCTAGCCAGCTGGGAATCTTGAGCCGAATCAGAATGTCCCCCCCCCCTTTTTGTTTGGATGAGGTTGGAATTTTTGCCTGCAAATGAGGAGGACAGCTGTGGTTGCTTGGAAACAAACAGAAAATGACAAAGGGAAGGAAATCGGAAAGAAATGTGAAGACTGGGAGATGAAGGAACAGAAGAAAGGTAACATTACCTTGGTCATTAGCCATTTTGTCAGAAGATTCAGCTAACAGGTCAAGCACAAAAAGCAGGGAGAGAAAATACAAAGCAGTTCAGTTAGAGGGGAAAAGCAGGGAGGAAGCGAGGCAGGGCTTTGAAGAAAAAAGCTAATATGGCAACAGAGAAACTTCTGAATGGCCTCCTTCAGTCTCACAAACTGTCTCTGATGGCTCATGAGCTGAAAAACTGCTTAAAGCAAAGTGAAAAAAGACAACCGGAGCTGAACATGACAGCAGGATCTGGGGCACAACTAAATCACACTGTTTCTTCTGCATCCCATCCTACTTTATAACAAAACAGTGTGCTTTTGAATAATCTCTGGATTCTTTTCAAATGCAGAGGCAAATAGTTGGATTCCAGAAAAACCATAGATCCCTCCAGTGAGGGATAACAGCTCATTAAAACAGCTTTAAACACAAAGCTACTACAAGTTAATAGGGGGATAAATATCAGAACTGCTGCGGGCTTCTCCACTGAACACCTTGTATCAGTCCAAATGCACCATACTAATCCAAAACAAACTCTACTTGTAAAAACATGAAGATTAAAGCTAATATTTTTTTATAGTTACGACACACAAATTACAGGTCGTGTCTGGTTGCACAATTTCAAGTCTGTTTCCATGTTGCTCCAATTAGAGATAAATTCACTGGAATACATTACCCAAAGCTAAAGCTCCCTGTAAATTTCCACTTCTTTGGATTGTAAGTAACAGAAGCAACAAGAAGCAGTAGTAAATACTGCCAAAGCACAGCTGGCATGCCACTGTGTGAACGAGTGCGGAAAAAAATCATTTGTTGATTCTGACATGCTGCAGTTTAAAACCCATGTCTCATCAGATGAACTATCAATAATCAAATGAATGATCAAATATTCCTAATCTCATCCTGTTGGGTGGTGCAGTCCAAGTGCTGTTCAAATAGCATGCTGCTGCCTAGGCGACCGCACTCACAGAAGCAGCAGGTATGCACTGTGTGGCTCCACTAACGCACATTCCTCTGGTGACAGAAAGGCATGCACAAGGATCCACGAGTGCAGCAGTCCAGTGCCAGCGTTCTCTCTCAGTCCTCAAATGCTACATTTGGCTTTTTCCCTAACACACAGCCGATCCCAACCAATCATTCTCCTGCAGGGGTACCTTTGGGAGTCCTGAACTGTACGGCCTCAGACATGGGCCCCATTCCCTTGGAATTGCGGGCCTGGATTTTGAAGTAGTACGGCGTGTCGAGGGTTAAATCCTGGATCTGGTGCGTCAGCCTGTTCCCCACCACAGGCTCAATCACCCAGTCGTGCACCTCAGCGTTCACCTCCGTGCTGTAATAAATGATGTAGCCTGAAATATTGGGGGGAAAAAAAACATTGGTCATGAAATCCCAGCTCTGACTGTTGCGCGGCTGCTAGCTCAGTTAAGGACGTAATTATCCTCCAAGTCACAGTTTCTCATCTGGGGGTGAGTTTCTCATTGCGATGGGACGGCTGCAGAAGACCCTCGCCGAAGAATGGGACTCTCAGCAAATACGTCAGTCAAGCTCAGTTTGGCTGCAGCCTGTGTTTTTCTTTGTTTTGCACCTGTCAGCTAAACAATTTTAAGGACCTGTTTATTTATTCACACATCAGCTTGGTTTTCCAAACCACCTTCTGCAGTAGCGTTAATGCAACATGCATGCTTTATTTAAAAGTATAAATGCTCTTGCCGAGTATATGTTCCAACTAAAAGGTAATTAAAAGTAATTTTTTAGTCAGTGACACGTCAATCTCATTAGTGATTTGTTTTAGTTTTCACATTACAGTCCTGGACAACTCCTTCCACAAACATGAGCTACTGGTGGCCAGATGTTATGTCACTTTTGATTAATCAAACTATTTCTATATATGGACGACATCAGATGACAATAAAACAGACTGAATGCAGGGAATTATAATTAAGAAGACCTTCATTGCACAAGAAATGAGTAAACAAAGGTTCAAATTAAGACATAGGCTGATCTTAACATGTGAACAAGCCTGTCAGTAATAAGAGCCATCAACCTTGGGTTCACTACACTGCATTTAATATCAGTCTAAGAGTGGTTCTTCCACTGAGGACACTGGCTGCTCTCTCTGGACTCAACAGTACCTGTGATTTTTCCATTGGCTTCAGAAGGAGGCTGCCAGTTGACAATGATAGTCCTTGGCCTGCCTTCCTTGCTGACCACAGTCACATCTTTGGGGGGAGAGCTGGGAACTGCAGAGAAGAAAGGCAATATGGGTCAGAAAAGGGACATGAAACAACAAGATTTTTTTACTTCCTTATTTTTTATATGCATTTCTCTACTCTTTAATTTCTTACTTTTAGGATATGCGTAACCCTCTTATTTCAGCCCAAGATTGTTAGTTCCCAAGCTCTGTATTTTAGAACAATCCTCTGTAAAGACTTCAGAGAAGTGTGGCAATGAGAAGGGGAAATGTGCAACTGCTCCATCGAGTTTTCTGAAGTCCAAAGGGAAACCTTTTTCCTTCCGGCTTACACAACTCTTCAACATCTCAGCTAGTCTATCTTCAAAGAGGCATTTTAGGTTCTTTTGTCGGCTCAGGTAGTTGCAATTGGCTAATGACAAATTCAAGCAATGCCCATAGAAAAGTAAAGGAATTAGTCAAGTGACTGCAAAATGTAAAATTATTTTTTCAGAAACCATGTGTACAGAGATAAACTATAAGCCCTTTTGTTCCCTTTTAAAAGTACACCTGATCTTGACATTAATATAAGATAGTAGCTTATACAGTACGGGCTGTTGACTACAACAAAGACTGAATTACACAAGAAATGGACATCACTGAAAATGCAAAGGAAACCTCAGATTGCTTACTAGTCTCAAAGGTGGTTCCATGAGCAGTCATACTCCATGTGCTTGTTCTCCTGCCTTTCGTGACTTTTACTGAAAACTCATAAAGCGTGTTGGGCTTCAGGCCTGTGACCATATAGCTGAGGTTGGTGGTGTTTGCAGTCTGAAAAAAATGGAAGTTTTGCATTAAACAAAAAAATTGGAAAAAATAAAATGACATGAAATAGAAGTACCTTTGTAGATACAAAAAAAGGAGCTCAGGCACACTGCTTCACTCAAACAAATACCCCTTCTAAAATTATATCTGATTATAATTTTTTTCAATAATGATATAGATATTAAACAGAAAACAAATTCTAAAGAGCCAGTGGAAATAGAATGTCTTTAAAATAAAGATGCAGTAAAATCACCAATACCTATTACAAAAGACAAATGTTATATTCATTGGATATAAGGGATTATTAAGGGATAAAGAAAATCTGAAGCAATCTATAGCTATAAAGTGATACGAAATGAGAGTTTTGTTCTGGAGTTTTGTGTTAATGTTATTAAATTCCACTTTCATGGTAACATCAGTGTCCAGTGACTGGTTTCTCTGTAGGTTCAGCTGCACGTTCTGCTCAGGGACCTCTAGATCAGTTCCCCATTTCAGCCACTAGAGGGCGCCCACCTCAAGTGAAAACCGAACAGGAGACAATGCATCAGCAGTCTTTAGCCAGCCCAAGCAGCTTCTCTACGGGAAATAGAAATGCGCACCAAAAATGTACAAAAACGATCTCTGCAGCTTCTCACTCTAACTGATCCTTACTTGAAAAGTCTGCTCCAGGTCATTTACAGGTCTCGGCAGGAGAGGCCATGGAATTCTACCTCAACCAGGCAAGCACAACCAACAAAAGCGAAAACCTGACATCAATGCACAGGGTGCAGACATGACCACAGTTCAGCTGACTGAAGATCTGAGGAGAATGTAACTTGGTGTGGGCTGTACGCGGTCCAACACAGGTTAATAAAATCTGAAGTGCAGGAATTCCAAAGGCGTCTCCTCATGTCTAGCTGATGTACAACGGTGTATGATGTTATAAGGGTCAAATTCTGGTCTCACCGAACACCTGGGGCGTTAGAAATGCAATGTGTTTGATTTGGCTTATTTATGACGGAGCGATATTGAAATGGGAAGCTGTTGTCAAGTTTTTAAACGGCACAGGGAAACTATTCCTTTAAAGCAAAGATTACTCTGCATTTCACATCGCAGCTCCATCAAAGAGGCGGCAAAAACAAGTATTTTCTATCTTTTTCTGGGGAACGTCTGACTGCTTCTTCAAAACGTAAAATCTTGGTGGTCTGTTAACTTTAAGAAGCTGATTGTTGTTTACTACTGAAAGACAACCTTTGAGAAAAAACCTGAAATGTCAAAAAGTTCTGCATGACCCGATTATAAATGCAGAAAGCTAAATACTAACATTCACCTTTGCCAGTACAACTTATTTCTTACATTAATTTCCTTCAGTATTCTACAGCTCTTATGACTGAGTGCTTGAAATTACGGATGCCACTTTCATCGATGCAGACAGAGAGAAACCTTCCTAAGTGGGGTTGCCAGTATGAGGCCTGTCAGACTGAAATAACACTTCTTCCTAAGACAGGACTTTCAAATTCATTTTACAGCTGGAGTTGACTAATACATGTGATTAGGATTCTAACAGTCTGATGTAATTGCATTTTTATCCAATGCACAATGTCCTTGTTGAATAATTTATAAATATCTGTTCATCAAATCCTTTCTTGCTAATGTACACATACCTCAGTGATGTATTTCCTATGTGCCTTGAGTCAGTGAAACACTTTTAAATTAACTGGATTCTACCCCCTAAACTTAAATTTCACAACATAGTTACAAATAAAAACTGGCACTTAGCACATTATGCAGCACAGGGGAAAAAGGCATTAGCATGCACCTCAGAAAGCATCTGGAATTTAAAGGGCATTGGTAACAGGTCAGTTTGAAGATTTTATTATAAAATGTTCCACATTACCAAGAAGCTCTAATTAGCTTGGGGCTGTCCTTTAACCATTTAAAAAGAAGCATTACTAAAATATTATTTGGCAAGACAGGCTGGATTCTCAAAACTCCCATATTTTCCAGCACACAGTGTAAGCTGATGTATCTTAAATGGTTACATTTCCTATCCATGTTCACTGTGGCCTCAATCTAAACAGTTTCTGCAAAAAGAGTAAAAAGCCTGTTCAGCTGTACTGTGGCAGTTTTATTTGGACACCTCCTTATTCCTCAGAAACAAATTAAGGAGAAATGTATAAACACTCATCTTCTGCGTCATTTTTTGGACCACACTCGGCTTTAATAAACTTTACAGTTTCGGTGGAAGTCAGCCCTCAGCCCAGGGGAGAGAGTGGGGGGTTTCTCCAGGTGAGCTGTCCTGGGCTGTTTGTTGGCCTTTTGTGGCATTGTCTCAGCCTTGCTGATCTCTGCTGAAATTATCAGCCCTGCGGTGCTTTCTACTGTCACTTACTGCCTCTTTCAACAGGCTTGCCCTCTACCTCATTCCCTCCAATATCTTATTTGCAGCCCTCCATGTGATACCAAGGGGAAGTGCAATACTGCATTGGGGAAGGACGCTCTGTGGCTCATGATCTGTGCCTGTGGCTGGAAGGTTGCTGGTTCGTATCCTGCGGCCGGCAGAGGAATCCTACTCCGTTGGGCCCCTGAGCAAGGCCCTGAACCCCAGCTGCTCCAGAGGTGCCGTATAAATGGCTGAACCTGCGCTCTGACCCCCCAGCTTCTCTCCTTGTCTCTGTGTCTCATGGAGAGCAAGCTGGGGCATGCGAAGACAAATTCCTAATACTAGAAATAGAATATGGCCAATAAAGTGATCTATCGATCTATCTACCTAAAAGTCATGTCGTAGAGCTGACTGAACCCATATGAAACAGGACTCATGCCTGGCCACGAGCCAGTTTCAGAAGAGACGTCACACTAGGGAGTGGCACAGTGCATGCAGTGAGCCCCTGAGTGGCCCAAATCGAATCCCACCAGGGCAATCGGCACACATTACACTTCCACACGTCGTGTCATTTGCCAAACCACCACACGGTGTCGCGGGAGGCCGGAGCCTACCCAGCAAGCAGCGAGCGCAAGGCAGGTTCACCCTGGACAGGACGCCAGTCCATCGCAGGGCCAGTGCAGGCCAATCACACATGGGGACAGTGTGGAGGCCACGGTAAAGGCGGAGGGGGGGAATTAGGCCCGGACACCGGGATAACTCCCCACTCTTCTCGAGGAGATGCCCGGGGATCTTTAATGACCCCTGAGAGTCAGGATCTCTGTTTAACGTCTCACACGAAAGACGGCCCCCACTACAGTATAGTGTCCCCACCACTATACCGCGGCATTAGGACCCACACAGACCGCAGGGTGAGCGCCCCCAGCTGGTCCCACTAGCACCACTTCCAGCAGCAAGCATAGCTTCCCAGGAGTCTCCATCCAGGTACTGACCAGGCTCACAGCTGCTGAGCTTCAGTGGGCTGCCAGCTGAGAGCTGAGAGCTGCAGGGTGACATGGCTGCTGGCCCTTTCCACACGTATTACCTTGAATTTGGTGTTGGCCGGTATGTTGGTCTTCCAGCGCACGCTGTAATAGCGAGCATCGGTGATCTTCTGGTTCTTGGGCAGCGAGCTGTCGGCCCAGGTAACCTTGATGGTGTCGTGGCTCAGAACGGAGGCCTGCACTCCGACAGGCGGCATCATAGGGGAAGGATCTGGTACTGGAGTGTATGGAGCATTGAAAAGGTCGTACAAATCAACATCGGGGTCTATGGGGTCTGCGAGCAGTTAAAACAATGTCAAATGATATTTGAAAAGAAAAAAAAACATGTGGGTCAGGCGTAAAAAGCAAGCACAACCAAACCAAAAAACAAAACAAGGAGGAGCAGTGAGGGAGGAGTAAAAAAACAAAACATGTTAATGCGTTAAGATGAAGGGAATGACAGGGAGGTGGGAGAGGGGTGAGGAAAAAGAGAGAGAATATTCTATTAGTACAGAATACCAAGTGGCACTACACTACAGGAGCATCAACATGACTTTCTACAGGCAGGCCACTACCGCTAAGCCTAGAGGAGGTACAAGCCAGGCTGATGGAGACAATGTTCCCAGCCTTCCGGAATTTCATTCACATTCAAAGCTTTTCCCTTTCTTCCATTTTTTAAATTACTATACAATGGAACTGTATTATTATAGGAAAGATCCTGTGCGTTCAGAACACATTTGTCTTCAGAAAAAGGCAAAACAACCAAAAAAAGATAAATCTTCAATAAACAATTCCATGTCTTTCTTCAAGCACAAATTAGTGGCAGACATGCTCTTTTAACAAAAGCTAAAGCTTACTTAACCTGACTATAAGATTACAACGTATTACAGAACAACTACTATAGTGTACATATGAGAATACTGCGTGTTTTTTTAAAAGTACCAAAGGCTTTGAGAACTTTAATATAAGCAGCTAATAAAAAATAAACAGAGCTGCCTTTTCTGTGTTCATCGAAATAAAACATCTGGTAGCAAAACACCCCCGGAATTTGTGTAAAACTTTAATGAAGTGCAACTCAGATGTAATTCAGTTTGTGCTCATATCCCTACATGCGCCCACTGCCCTGGTTTTCTTCTACTGTGTGTCAAAAGGAGACTCATTCAGCCTGTCAACAACTGTTTTACTGCCATTGTATTTAGAGCTAAATAACGAAGTCCCAGAGGGTACCTATATACAATTGGCCATTTCCTTTCAGACAAGTCTATTTCTTATAAAAGTAAGGAATTATTATGACTGATCTTGAGTACTTTTCCATAGGTTTCAACATTTAGACGTGATTCAGTCTTCTCCGTAGTGGCCTTTTGCAGGAGAAAAGGCTGCAATGATATTTTTCTAATTCCTCCTTCACATCATCTTTCTATCACTCCCAAGAAAGTGATAGAGAAGACAAAAAAGATATAGCCTTTGAAATGGTTTGTATTCACGGAAGATATAAAATTCTGGGACTCCTGTCTGTCATTATTAAGTGACAGAATCCAATGGTGTGAAGATGAACTTCTGCCTATTTTAATTTATGTGAGCACACTAACTTTCCTTTTGGTTATTACAGTCTGGAAAATGGATCAAGGCTGAGCTTGTGTCTTCACCCACACTGTTATTAAAAGCGTCCTAGTTGAACGACTTCTTTCCAAGAGTTTAAAGTCCAATATATGTCACCACATGCTGTCATTGGACCATCTGGGGGGAGGCTAAGACAATCTGTGAAGCTGGACAGTGGGTCTCAGAACCATTCTCTGACCTAAAAGCATTTGGTTTTAGAAACAAATCCTTCATACAAAGGCTATCAATGGTAAAACATGTGATGTGTCAGATCTTAAAGAAAACTATTTAAATTAAGTAGCTACAGGCAGAAATGATTTCAATATTCAGCATTAAACACCAATGAGAAAGTGAACTAGTGTTACCGACATCACAAGGCCAATATTACACATTAAATTTTACAGGGTTAGCAAGGTCACAGCGTTACTCCCAGTAACACCGACCTACTGAAAGCCTTTTCACAGTAAATGCTCAGCAAACAAAGACCTGCTTGGTCCTTACGTTTGCCCTTATTTCACAACACATTCTCTATTCTCAAAGCTTAAATGCAGTTTATTTACAGTGTAGCCCTATGGTGAGTCAAGCACTCTGCTATGGAAACATATCTTTTGTATGGCACGAAAATTGTTTCAACATTTCTGCCATTAAATCCTTTGGCTGGGCAGCCAAATAGCCCTTATTCAGTATGTATGCAGTCTGATGCTTGCATGTGTAGATAGTGACTTCTTATTTCAGCGCAGGATCAGATGCCGTTCTTGTTCATATTTAACCAAACAGCTTTCATCTGCTTTCAAGAATTCCCTGTGCTGCATAATGAAGGCTAGATTTTGGCTTAAAAATTGAATCCTTTGGTATTAGCAGCAAATTTCAATGTCTGCAGGGTGAAGTTTAAGTCTGACATCTCAATGTAATTGTACTCGAAGCAACAAGCATAGCACTGACGATTCAGAACCTACAGGAGCTTGATACAAGTCACTGCTGCTTCGGGAAAGGGCAAGCACACATTCTATATAGATCAGAAAGTAAAAGTTACTGCTGCTGTAGTGTCTATACCTGTGCTGGGAATCCTGTGGGCGCATTTGCGAATGTCTGCAAACTTAAGGAAAGTGACGACATTCTAGGATGTATACCCTTTACAAACTTAACACTTTACAGGCCTTTTCACAAACGGAATCTGAAACTGGAGCTGCTGAACGCAGATCTTTTGAAAAAAGCTTTTAAGCTTTTAAGATCAACACAACACATCAATACTTCGTTTGAAAAAAAAGTTTGATCCGACAGTGTAAATGTTGGCAAACTAGAGATCTTCTTCAGCGAGCTGATGTGATTTGATGGGCTATGAAATGAGAAAAGATCAGCAAGCTCAATGGAAGTTCCCAAGTGGCCAGTCTGTGAGTCTTCTTGGCAGTTACTCAAAAGCAAGTCTGTTTTCGCTTCTGGGGGAAGTGCTGGAATCACTTTGTCAGGAAGAAGAAATTATTTAGGGATATCTTCGCATGTACACAGGCCGTCTGTTAAAAAAGAATTTCCCCTGCCACAAGATTTGTTTGGATGTTCGCACTGACATTATCTGTCACATTATACATTCAATTGAAAAGACTCCTTGCTGCTCCTGTTTAATATTCAAAGGTCGCTTTAAACTTGCTCAAAACTGCTTCTGGTTCTCCAGCCGAAACTGAATTTCCCAGCAAGCAGACAGTCTTGTTATTCAATGGCAAAAGGGGTAAGTTTGTTTTAAATTGTTAAAACTGGATTTATCCCAGTGTTGCTACCAATACTATAAAACTTGTCGATTAAATCTAGTGAAGACCAGCAATGCCACATCAGTATAATGTACTGTACACTGTAGAATATAAACATCTAAGACAAATCACATTCATAGCCAAGAGATTAAAAATAACTGGAAAGGAAAATGCATCTGAAAGAATAATTACACCTGCCCTACCAGCAAACACATCTAGAGTCATTTACTTCAAAGAGCTATTTACATGTTGGTGAAAGCTGAAAATCACCCTGAAGTTAAAAAAATCAAACAGCAAAACAAAATCTAATTAAGGGGTTCTTAGGTATTACTGTTTTCTAGATTAGTTGCCTAGCAATCTATTGGTCTTCTATTTAAAAACATCATGCAACGCTAAACCTTGCAGATTCCCTTCAAAATATATGAAACAAAGCCTGTATCACAGATTTCTCTTCATTCTCTTCAGATATTTTACAGAAGATCTCTAAAGACCTTCATTAAAAATATAAATAGTGCCCTTCGTAAACACACATCGTGGAGTGCTTTACAATAATAAAGTGATTTCTCTTTATTAGTTAAAAGCTAAATGGAAAAAAAAAAGCTTTCAGTCCTTTAAAAGGCTAATCTGTCTCAAAATGGCAGTAAATGACAGATAGTCTTTCATTTACAATTGGAGACTCTTTCTCTCATGGTACAGATTATCTCATTCTCCAGCAGTCTGAGCACAGAGCAAGAAAGCAAAAGTGTTTTGCAGTGGAACCGAGTCCTTTGTGAGGGACGCATCACTTTCAGTGCCATGAGGTGACTCTTTCACATTGCTACCCAACACAAACAGGACCATGCTTCTCTGAACACAGTTCATTTGAATTCGCAGTCACACTATCTGCCCCAGAATGGCAGGTAACTCGAGGCAATGACAACGCTTTTGTCTTGCGAGGTTCTCTATCCAGCAGATATATCTCTATTTCTTCAGAAGAACCCAGATGAGTTGCAGATTTTCTGTCATAAAAGGAAAAAAGAGCCTGATCCAAAAATCATCACCTAATAACACAGGAATGCCTGGGCATGGGACTGGGGGATAATCCCATCCTCTGCCTTAGGCTCTGCCCAGAAACCGAGACCAAGAAGCTTAAAAACAAGAAACTTCATGGGCGAAGGGTGCTTTTGCCTTTGGTCAGCTTTTTCTTTCACATTCCAGGAGCTCCTGAATTAAAAACCAATTAAGTGAAAGTTGTTTCAGCTTCAAAGGGTATGGTGTTTCCTTTTGAGGAAAAAAAAAAACAGATACCCAACATACAGGTTAAAAAGAGAAGGACTTCTCCCAGAAAACACTGCCTAGTGAGTAGTGCTTTCTTTTATGAAATCCTAAGAAACACTGACATTTTTAAAAGCATTTCTCACTTGGATGGAATGTTTCTCTTGGGAGTTTATAGCAGTTCTGCTCTCAGGCAGAGCCGTACCTGAGAGAGGTCTGGTGGCTGCACTCTCATACACAGGAATTCCTTCCCCTATATTGTTGAACGCCTTCAGTGTGATCACATAGTGGGAACTGGGGTCTGCAGAGAGGAAGAGAAAAAAAAACACGAATAATTTTGCTAATCAAAACCCTGCCCCGCCGAGGCCTCTTTTCAAATTAATAATCTCTGAGAAGCACATATTTAAATGCAGTCATTGATTTTTTTTCATCTGTAATAAAGTGAATTACAAAAAACTTCAATTATGCACATTTTTTGTTAATGGATTTTTTCCCCCTCCACTTTAATTACAGAGCTGCCTCAGTTCTGACATTCTTGTGATCCTGTGGGAACATGAGCTGTGTTACGTGAAGGGAAATTTCTACATTAATAATGCAGCACATTCTTGTATGCAGAACATCTCTGTAAAACATAAAAAAATCAGTCAACTTTATTAGACAGCGTCTGTAACTGTTTACAACTTTGAGTACTTAGTAATATCAAGGAAAGGGGCTTTATTTGAAATCAACAATGTGTCTGGTGTCTCGCAAGTCTTACATTCTAAAATCTTTATTTTTAAAATCTGAATTTGAACACGTCATCTTTTACAATGTGGTTCCTAAAGAAAGTCAGTGGGTTGGTGTCAAATCATTATGTAACTGAAAAGAGGCCCAGGTGTGTAATATCTGGATTACGAGAACTATTTAAATTCTGAAGAAAAACACAAAGAAATTTCAACCTGTACATTTGCTCTCCAAGCCCAGCACTGTATAAATGCCTCCCCCCGTCTTTCTCACCCAGGTTCTCGATGGTGTAGTAGCGCTGTTTGTAGTCCACTTTGATGGTCTGTGCATGGGGGCTGCCAATTCCATAGCCGATGGTATAGCCCCTTACCACAATGTCCTGGTTCTCTGGGGGCGTCCAGCTCACCACTATACTGGTGACCAGTGGGCGGACGTGCAGAGAGCTGGGGATGTCAGGGACGCGGGTCTCTGGAATAAGAATCAATGGGGTGGCTTGAAAACAGAAGCAGGTTTGTGCTGAACTACGCAGGAAAGGAGAAAAGCCATGAAATAGAAATAGAAGACAATTTTAGCTGAAAACGCAGCAAAACTCATTCTGCATCACCATTGGGCGCATTCTTTTTTTCAAATCAGAAACATTTAATAAGAAATCTCCCATGAGTGACAAGATGGATGATCTTAGTCTTTGGAGAGAAACCTTTCTGTGACTAGCTTGCAAAAAGTTCAGGATTTCATCATTTGAAACTGAAAAAGAATAAGCAGAAGAAGAGAACTAAGGCTCTGCGTGGTTAATGTTGTGTGGTTAACAAAATATGCATTATAAATCCATCCATGTATCAGAAATCATCATTTTGATTTCAGAGGCAATAAACACAATTCAACCCTGTTTTACTCCCTTAAATTATTCATTCTGTTGGGACAAACCTAAGTTCTGTTTAAGGGACCTTAATGGGATCTGAATTACACTACAGGTGGTTTGAGGCTTATTCTGACCTAAAAACGAGTTTATTGGTTGAAAATGAAACTGGTGACATAAGGAATTTAAAGGACAATTGTCGTTAACTCAGAATTAAAAAACATTCACCTTTCCCCTCTATTATTGCAGAGACAGCACATGTACAGCAGTGATATAAATATTAATAAAAGATGAACTGGTACATTAACACTTGTAAGAAATTTCCCCACTCCAACCAAACCAGTGCATATTCTATCCTGATACTCTCTGTCTAAAATAATTAAATGCCTCTCACTAACTATAATTATTAAAGAATTTATATAATATGCTCAGGCTTCAGTTCCATTAAGGATGCAAGATACATATTGAAAGTTATTAACCAGATACATGTATATCCTAATCTGCTGCTGTGTAATTGAATTTCCTTATTTATAACAAAGTTTATTTTCCTGGGAGCCAAAGAGAAAGGCTGCTTTGAAAAATTTTAATTAAATGTGAAGATAAATCAGAAAAGGTTGGGCTTTGATGTGTGGATTGAAAACAAAGATACACAGCGCTCTGCCTTGTTGGACAAAGAATGCCATCTGTCATCAGAAAGCAGCCTATTCCTGGGCTGAACACCACCCTGGACAAGATGACACTCGCTTGCCACATGCAGGGCACACAGGGGCAATTCAGAGATGCAGATTAACCCAGCCAGTGAATCTCTTTAAGGTGGGTGGAGTTTGGTGAGATTGAGGAAGGACATGCAAACTCCACACGGAAGGCATCCCAGTCTGGAACTGAACCCAGGACACAAAGTGAGGCTGTAATCAATGAGACTATACCATCTGGGAGACAAAAACTTCCAAATTTTATTCATGGAAAAACAGGCTAGTTGAATTTCCTGAACAAGAGCAGATATTTTGCTGATTTTTACTTCTTTGGACACCATAGTTTTGACCGAAGCTTATGGCGATTTAATGATAATCAAAATGATGAGAGACACCACAAAAAAGTAGGGCTTATTTCTTTGTGTGGTGCTTGGTTAGGAGTGTTTTTTAAAACAGATATCTCTGATTTTGTAGAAAAGCATTTTGCTATTTGTGACATCAAAACAGCAACAACTGCACCCCATGGTGTTGCTGAGCTTGAGAGATTTTGCTGTGCTTTTCTTTTAAGTCGCAAAAGAGTGGAGGAGTGGAAACTTCCACCAGCTGTGCCTTCAGTTCAGTTCTGAAGCAGCTAAGACT